GTAATAAAAAAGACACAAAGTATGACAAAGGAAAAAATTATAGAAAAGAAAAGAAAAATAAAACCACTCAAGAAGCAAAAAGCAGTATCAAGAATATAACCCAAAAAACATCAGTCGCATACCTACACATATAAACATCAATCACACACTCCCATCATGTAAACCCCCGACTTTCCGAATCCAAATCCAAAGCCAGCAACAGAAAATGGGGAAATCCCCATTTTCCAGAGGCTGACTCATCTACCCATCTAACCAGCTCCAACCACCACATGTTTTGGAGCCGGGAGAGAACGATTACTTAATATATATATAATGATAGTAATAATGATAATAAGACTAGTAGTCGTTGATAGTGTGAGCCGGCGCATAGCACAAGGTGATCCTGCATGTTGTAGAAGATAAGAGACTCCGTGATAAAACTATAGCACCAAACACCAGCATGGCTCGTAAGCCGCAGACATGCAATGAAAAATCTGCAAAGCAAAGCGGATGAACCGATCTTCCCCCCCCCCCCCTACCTTCTCCCAGGTACACATTATATATTTCGCATCGGGAATCCGGCTCGGAAGGCTGAGCCAAGCCCACCATCCACTCCGACCTCTCGCGCTGTACCGCAGCAGTACAGGCATAACAATCACATCCTCAAGGAGGTCCCAAAGGGTAGATTCCCACTCGAAAACCCTGGTTACCCATCCCTCAAGGGGTAATTGTTATGCCTGGGAGGTAGTACAACTATACATTATTTAATATACTAATAAATATTGATAAGTCCGTGGCTCAAGCCGCCAGCTTCCTAGGTATGCGCGCGCATAGTCTCCTACCTAGGTATGCTGCCTATTGACGATGACGGAAAGCAAGCTCTGTAAGCACTGCAGTCGGGCCTCTGCGATGGCTTTCTTCTCGTCCGATTCTGCCGCTTGATCGCGGGGTCGGGATTTCGTGTAATGTATAGCTCGTGGTAGACGAGTCGGTCGTATCATGCTGTAAAAGAAACTTATTCTGGCCCAAGAGATTAGGGCTTCCAGCGCCGGGGTATCTTACCTGGTATCGGAACCGAGACTGTGTTCGTTTATGAATCAATGTGGTTGAGCGTCCAACGTTAAACATTCCCATGCGATCTCCCATTCGTGACCCCCCAATAACTCAATCGCTTCTCATCCCTTCAAAATTTCAAATCCCGCCGCCGATAACTCCGCTCCAGACTCCAGCAACGGTCTTCCCTGTAACGGGAACGGCCAAAACAGCGGGTTCGCCCCCTCAGCCACGGGCCCAATCGTACTCATAGAATCGGAACACTTCATGTTCGGACAGAAGAAGTTATTGCTCACCGTACTACACAAACAGCTCCTATTTGGATCACCCCTATCCTCGTCATCCCCCATCTCATAATCGACACCCCAATGCTTGATCAAAAACCTCAAGATCTGGACAGCACGGATGGCAAAACCATGGCAGTGTGACATTTCACGGAGGTCGACGATGGCTTGGCGGAGAGTCGAGGAGTCGGGAGAGGCTCTGAGACTGAGGGAGGCGATGTGCGTGATACCAGAAGCGAGGATGAAGTATGGGACGAAAGAAGGCGTGCGGCGGAGCGTGTAGAGGTCGGCGTAGGATTTGAGGAGGATGGAGAGGGTGGAGGCGGCTTGGTTGCAGAGGTCGCGGGGGGAGACGCCAGAGCCTATTATAGAGAGCTTGATGAAGGGGCGGAAGAGAAAGAGGATGGCTGAGTGGTAGTACATACTGAATTCTTGTCAGAGACGAACGACATGAGAGCGTAGGTGGGAGAGAGGCTTACTGAGAGAACAGCACTGATGGGGTGAAATTGTAGCCAAGGCGTAGCGTGCACGGAAGGTTGGAGTACCATTGTATGTACTCTGTGTAGATCTGGTTGAGCCTTTTGGCTGTTACGGGCTGGCCGGGTGTATACAGCATGTACAATGACCGGTGGACGACTTCAGATAGTTCGCAGAATGTTTTATACACACTTCGGACATTGGAAGGTTGTGTGCATGCGGTCTCCAAAGGCGTACCTGAGTTCAAATCAGTAAGCGCCTGGTTCAAAGTGCTAGATAAGACATACCATCGTCGGTATAAGCAACCCAGATCGTGGCTTCAACGTGATCCACGATGGGAGGCTTGAGTACCAACTTGGCGTTCTGAGAGAAATGAGGCAGTCGACCGATGCTCATAGACCATACTCTGGGCTAGGTTAGACCAGGAGACTCTTCGACACGGGGGAATGTGGCACTCACTGATCTAACGAGAACGCCCCCCAGAAAGTTGCAGAACGTACTGCATGGTCTAACTTAGCACTGTCGCTAGCGCCATCTTGAACATCAAAATGCAACTTCATCTCAATGGCAAGGCGTATTGACTGGCCCGAGAGGAAAATGCTATGGCTGGAGCGCCCGCAGCTTGCTTCTCGGATAGACATCAGCCCTAGAGCTTGAATAGTAGTCAAGGTATGCAGGTCTGACTCCAGTTCCAGTAGGCGTTCCGCCTCGGCAAAGAAAGCGTCACCGGCTGTATTGCTATCATTTGGATCTGTCCGGGCTTGAGGTTGAGTTGAGAATCTACTTCCAACAGCCAACAGTGCGTTGACTAGCAGGGACGAGCAATATCTTAGATTCCCTGCTCGCATATCTTCTAGAAAATGTTCCTTGCTAAGCGACGCAAAAGTCGGATATTCCCAGCAAAAATATAGAGCCATCAAGTGCTCCACGAATGCTCCATCGCCGGTGATTTTCGTCCAGCTTTCATTGTAGTTCAGATGAGGTATATCTGGATGTTCTTCCTTGCCGAAGCTCGGTCCTAGTATTGTCTCTTGCCCCCGACACCGGGCGTGATGAAGGATGCTCAGCGAGTTGGGATCCGAGTCGGAGCCGTGATGCCAAGTTCCGATGAGAGAATTGGGCATACCATCGTCAAGGAAGGGAAATGCCTCAGCTTCCCATATCATTGTGTCATCCACCTGATTCGGAGCTGATGCATCCGCCTTGATGAACGGACCAGAACCCCATGGTGGCCAAGCTGTCCCTTCCAGTCTGCTTTGGCCGTATGTGGAGCTCTCGCTGGACGCTATCAGTGACAGCGGCGAGCTGATGACACTCCTGGCCCTCTTCAGCGCACCCCCGATAGCTTGATGGTCGCTGGGCCGAGCGAAGCTGGTGATCTTGCCTTCTGCCGCTGACGACTGTGATCCTGAGTCCAACCTGTCGACAATTTGCTCGACCGTCTCTCCATTCCGCAGTTGTTCCAGCACAAGTTCAGATGCTTCGATCGAAATCAAAGCAGCCAGAACTCTTTCGGTCTGCCGCTGTTGTGCTCGTGAGGCCTCGAGTTCGGACCGCATCTGCTCCTTTGACTGGCGGACTGGGAGCTCATACTGGCACTCGACGCTTTGCAACACGCATCTTGCACAGGGTGTCTGGCCATTGCACTGAAGACAGCTTGTTAGCTACAGTTCCAACAGGAAGTTCATGTCAGGTACCGCTCTCGATCCGCCGAACATGCCTTTGCTCGCTTCTTGCGGCACTCGGTGCAAGCATTGGCGGTGACTATTCCCAGGCCTCGGCGCCTCTTTAAATTACTCGCGCTGTCCATCGCGGCGGACGCTGGATAGGTAGGTTGGCCGTGTGTCGATGATGCTTTGTCGCACACCCTCTGCGGCTTGCAGATCATTGATACCGAGGGAGAGGGCGAGTGCGGAACGGAGCGTGCAGAGACAAATGGATGGCGTTGGTGTATCTAGAGCTGGGGTCCCCGAACTTTTCGGATCGGGGTTATGGTGGAGTCCAGTGCTTGCTTACTAGCCATATGACGTACCGTGCCTGACTACTTACTCGTACTCGTAGAGGACTTCGTACTCGTACTCGAACTCGAACTCGTACACTCGTACACTCGTACTTATCAAGGACTCTGGGCGAGTCAGCCCACCTTCAGAGCGAAGGGAGAGGAAGAAGAGGAAGAAGAGGAAGAAGAGGAAGAAGAGGAAGAAGAGGAAGAAGAGGAAGAAGAGGAAGAAGAGGAAGAAGAGG